TGCATTAAATATCACCTATTATTAAACATTTGTGCTGGTTACATCTGTATTTGTGAATTTTGCCCTGTCTCACTTTATTGCATCTATCTTTATTTACTTATCTATTTATTTTTAATCTTTTATGAGCTAAAATGTACATCAATATAAATATAATATAAATATTTTGTTCTTATTTTGTAGTGTTTCCTTTAAAAGGATATGCTTTTGGTTGAATTATCTTTTTAAATCTAATATGAAGCTATTTGCCCATAAATTTGTAATTTTAATATATTAAATTTATTTATTCTTGGTGACTACCATATCTGATAAAAAACTAAAATTTCTTTATACCTTAGGCACTGTCAAAAACCTTTCTGTAAGAAATTGATAACAAAATATGGATGTAACTTTGAGATTTCAACTTGAAATTAGAATAGACCAACATTTTTAAAATAAACAAAAATGATGCATAAAGCATGTTTTGTATTATCATACATAAACTAATGTATGTTTATTTTTAATTGCTGACATTTAGGTCAGTTTGTACAATGGGAGATTTTATGGACCTCCAAGGGAACAGACTGTAAAGACATCTTGTAAGTCATTACTGAGCTATTTACATTATCATCATTATATTAAAATGTATCTTCGCAATTACACAGCTTTATTAGTTCAATTCAAACTCAGATTTTATTTAAGCATATTTAAATGGCATGCTTTCCATAAATGTAATATTATGAATTGTTGTGAAAAATTACAGGAACATCATTTAAAACAAGATATCCTACACTCAGATAGTTGTTTTGATTCTTAGGTGCTCTCTTTAGTTCACAGCGACCCTATGTGTCAGAGGAGAACTGCCTCCTAGAATTTGCTTAATTACAATCTGAATGTGATAGGGTCTCTCCTAGTCAGCAAAGGAGCGTCTCTAAAGGTAGTATAGTGGCTCTAAAAGTGGCTACAGTCTAGGAAACCCACAGGGGTGGTTCTACCCTGCCCTATAGGGGCGCTGTGAGTCGGCATCCACTCGATGGCAGTGAGCATAGTTTTGGGACTTAAAGAAGCAAATTGCCAAGTCTTTGCCTAGGAAGCTGCTGGGGAGTGGATGCTAACTGCCATCCTTTTGATTAGCAGACAGGTGCTTCACCTTTTGTACCACCTTAAGGTGGTGCTTCAGATAAAGAAACTAAACACACACACACACACACACACACACACACACACACCTGCTGTAAAGTTGACTCTGACTCACCTTGGCCCTGAATAGGGTTTTTAAGACTGTAAATGTTTACAGGAACAGTTTGGTAAGTGTGATTCCTTCCTTAGCACATCAATGTCTAACTCACAATACCTCCAGGGGTCTAAATTTAGCTTCAACAAAAACAAAAACCTCCCTGCCTCTCCACTGAGTTGATTCTGACTCTGTAGCAACTCCATGAGTAATAGAAGTGCTCCTTTCTATTTCCAGGATTTTAAAACTTCATGGGAGCAGACAGACGGATTGTTTCCTCTTAGAAACGGATGGGTTCACACTTCTAACCTTATGGCTAGCAGCTCAGTGCACAGCCCACGGTGCCACCAGACTCTTACAGTCTGAGTAGGAGATGATCACTTAGTTGGTACAGGATTGCTGACTTCATAAAACTCTCCTAAGAGGACTTGTCTTCAGAGTCCATGAAATCATGACTGTTTATGGCATTTCTTTAATGTTAACTTCTTTGCATAATAGTTTGAGACTATTACCTCGGAGATGGATTGGCGCCATGGCTCCCACATTGGGCTCCAACATCAGGACGATTGTGAGGGTGACACAGGACAGCAGTGTTTCGTTCTGTTGTGCACAGGGTCACTGTGAGTCAGAACTGACTGGACGGCACCTAACAGCAACAGGAATCTGAGTTATGTTTCAACCCATATGCTTTGTAGACGTGGATTGATAGATGTGTTAGTCAGGCAGACTAGAGAAACAAATTCATAGACACTTGTATGTGTTTAAGAAAGAGCTTTATAGCAACAAAGCCCACATGGAACAACATATCAACCTGTGTGATCACGGGGTGTCGAACGGATCACTGAAGACAAATGGGTGCATAAGCAAATGTG